AACTAGTTTTTATTATATATTTTAATTACATATTTGTCAATAACTATTTTTATTAAAAATATTGAACTATTGTTTTCACAAGTGAATATAAATTATTCATTTTGATTTTCATCATTTTTCTTAGAAGATTTGACTTGGAAAATGTGTGAAATCAGAGTTATGAAAGACCAGACTTAGGGTTTAAGATAAATATTTTATTATTTCACAACATAATTCTGATTGGTCGCTAGTTGATAAGCATGTTAAACTCTATATTTTATAATGAACCAAGTTTGACAAATACGTTTTACTTTTCTTGTTCAATTGTTGTCTGCACGATTTTATTAAAGTAAAAGAAAAAAATTAGAAATAAATAAATGAATAAAAACAATACTGATACATTTTTTAACTCAATAAATAAAAATATTATCAATAAAAATGAAAATTTCCATTTAAAAAAATTTAAGAAATAAAGTACATCAAAAACATATAATTAGTACAATTACTGTAGGGTGGAAACTCAAAGACACTTATGTATATGGGTTCTTTTTTACAATAATATATATATATATATATATATATATATATTATAATATTATAATATTATAATTATACAATAAGACAATAGTAGGGATGGCAAAAAAATCCGCGCCCGCGGATATCCGCGGATAAAATCCGCGACGGATAGTTGGTACCCGCGGATATTTACTATCCGCGGGTTGCGGGTAGCGGGTTTTTTAATACCCGCTTATAAACGGGTCGGGTGCGGGTATTATACTATCCGTATCCACGGATATCCGCTACCCGCAAAAAATAAAAATAAAAATTTAATTTATATTTTATTAAGTTAAATTTAATTAAAATTAACATTAATTTATATTTTATAAAGTTAAATATAATTAAAATTAAATTTTAATTTATATTTAATAAAATATATATTATATTTTATATATTTTTTGTAATTTTATTTAAATTTTATTATAATATTTTATAAAAATATATTTTTTTAAATATTTATGGGATATCCACGGGTATCCACGGATATCCGCGGGTTTTAAAATATCCGCGGATATTTTTTAAGCGGATATCCGTGCGGATAGCGGATCGGGTAGCGGGTGGATTTTTTTTTATCGGGTCGGGTTGCGGGTAGGCACTATCCGTGCCCGACCCGATCCGTTCCCATCCCTAGACAATAGTAACTTTTCACTGTAATAACTACTATTTATGATGTAAACCTTTTATAAAGGTAAAATTAGTATATATTATTTTATTAGATGCACGATGATGGAAGAAAGAAGAATACGAGTCTCATGGCTTGAAGTCGCCTCTTAATAAACGTGGCCACATCTATCAATGTAGCTATCGACAGCTGGCAATATGACGTGGCAGTACATAGACATCTCATCTTAAACCACGTGATGTTAACTTCTCTGCACCTGAAAATCAGCACCACGTGTCTTCTCTCCTTCCTATTCCTACTTTCCCACTCGCCACAAGCGCGTGGGTCCCACTTTCTTAATTATTTTCATCATGCCTACCAGTACCGTCACCTGTTCTTATCCTTCAAATAGATAAGAAATTCATCTGAAAAAAATAAAATAATTCTAAATTTGGTGTATCAATTTCAGGTTGTGTGTTTATTTGTGCTGTTTGAGAAATTAGACTATGTCTAATTTGGAAGGTAAAAGGAGAGAGAGAAAACTATGTGTGCCCGATGTTTGTGAAAACTGTTTATTGATTTGGATGAGGTATGCATGTTTTTGTTTATTGTTAACTTGTGGTGTGCATTTAGAAAAGTAGATAAAGCTTTATTCTTTGAGACATTGCATCAAACAGGTGGTGAACAGTGTGAATAGTATATGGCATCTTCAACTTGGGATGACTTTGTCCAGGTTTGAAATTACCCTAATTCAAGAAATACATTGCAATAATTGAGAAGGTGGAAAGACAAAAGAGGAAGTAACATGTCAAAACAAAACTTTTTATTGATTCTTTTGACATGATAATAATGGAGGAGTAGTGGATGATGCATTATTCTTGAAGAATTTGAGATGAGAGTGAAAGAGTAATATTATGAATTCAATTATTAGGACTTAGTACTATTCAATAGAAACAAAAGAGGATTCAATTCAACCTCATCATTCATCCATCACCACATACATACTTTTCAACTACCATCAAACCCTACAAATTATGTATCATTTGGGCTACCATAAATTCAAAGTCATGTCTTTACTATACTTAATATGGATACCAACAAATAGAAAATAGAAGTTGCTTTTGCATCTTATCCCTATTCATAGATAGCCAAAACCCTAGCTATGCACTTCCTTTCTATACCAACAAATAAGTACTTTGTTTTTTCAAGGAATTTCTTGCATTAGGGTAGAATACTCAGTCCACCGTTGATTATTCCCTTTCTTGTTTTAAATTATTAGTCGAAATCGTTTTGCCCAATTTTATGGTATATCACAAAGAACTTGCAAATCAATGCTCATTAAATCCATTAGAAAAACTCCTTCATTTAGGGTGTTTGGTTTTCTATTCAAAGCTATGAAATGAACTTACAATATGAAACTATGACACTCTTAAATTAGGTTAACCATGTTTTGGATTGTATATTATTTTTGTAAATTGTGATTACTCTATTATATATATAGAGAGAATATTAACAGAGATTATTTTTATTTTATTTCTTTTTCTACACATATTAATGTTTATATATGTTTATGTATATTATAAGTTTTGTACAAGGCTTTTAATCGGTATACTTGATAGTTTAATTTTTTGAAGTGTTACCATACAGTAAATTAAACCAAACACAGTATATTTCTATTGAAGTGTCGTAAAAAAAGTTTGCTATGATATTATAATTAACTTTATTATTTTTTATTTTTTCTTCTTAATTGGCATTTTAACTTTCCACCTTTATAGATTTTGTAATAATTTGAAATCTTAAATTTGTTGAAGCAAATCCAACCACTGCATACAAGTAAGTGGTCTCATATAAATAGCCACAAACATTAGTGAACAGTTTTTAACATTTTATGAGTTAGCCGCCGACCTTTTGTTTTTTTGTTTTTTTTAGGAAAATAATAAGTTAATATATATTTTTTTATAACATATTGATATTTTGATAATTAATATACTCATTATTTTTTCATTGAGTTTAAAATATGTTAACATAATAATAAATTAATGAAAAAATAACACACATACTTTATTAAAATATTGTAAAAAAGTTAGTATCAAAATATATCTTTTATTTTATTTGTTGTTGTCTTATTAGTTTTCAAGTTTTTAAATTAAAAATTGAACTATGAATCTGAGTTTTATATCACAAAAATAAAATAGTTAATCACTTTATAATTAAGAATATATAAATTGATTATTTTAAAATTTTAAATTAAAAATAATGTCAATATTTTATATAGATTAGCCTAGTGAGATGAAGTGATAAGTAGTATTTAAGCAATCGAGAAGAAAAGTTTTCTTTTTCTTATTTGGGGACTTCCTTCAAATTATCTTTGTTCTGTTAGTTGTAATTTATAGTTGAACAAGCTTCTATATTCATTTATGGTTGAGTGTATTAATTTTTTTATTTATTATATTTAAGAGCAGTGATTACATGAAGATGGACCCCTCCATATATGTGTGGTCCTGATTATTAGATATATGATTGAAAATTATAAAAAAAAAACTGTTGTGAGGATACGTGTATATATAAATAGATGGAGAAAGGGACTTGTGCAATGTGCTCCACGTGGAGTGTTTTTTTGTGATGCTTATGATTTTCTTCTTATGTTCTTTATGCTTATAAGTTACAAAGACAACCCTTTATGGGACAAACTATTATTTTATTCTTTTGGCCATCACAATTTTATTGTAAGACTAGTAGATATGGTAGGAACATATATATAATTAATTTTAAATTTTTTTTATCATACTAAAATAATTATAAATCTAACTTATTTTTGTAAAATTTATTATATATATATATATATATATATATATAATTTGATCTTACTTTTAATTGATAAAAATTTATAATATTATATATAATTCTAATAATGATAATGAAACATAAATCTATCTCAATTTAAAAAATTGACTTAAAGATTGTTTTTTTTCTTATTTATTATAATTTCGTATTGTTTATAATCTATCTCTAACCATAATGATTTCATTTTTATACAAAAAGTCAAAACCTCTTTATATTACTTAATTACACATTACATTGTTTACAATAAACACAACTCAATAGCTCTATATTTGATAAAATATATTTAGTCTCTTTTCAAGGTTTAATTTAGTACTTTTAACTTTTTCTAATTCATTTTTCGGTCTCTTTAATTTTAAAATACATAAGCCTTTCCCATTTAAGTATTGTTTAAATTATTTTTCATATTTATAAAACTTTAACTATAATTTTTTGGTTTTACTAAATCAAAAATATTTTTTACAATAATTATACTTAAAAATTCTAATTCTAATTAATAAACATAGGACTAATATATTTAAAAATTTATTTTTCACAATAGTTATACTTAAAACTTTTTTTCCATTGTAATTATACTTAAAAATTAAATTTTCACAATAAACTAATTTCTAATAATACTTAAAATTAATATTTAATAAAAAAATTAATTTTGGAAAATTAAAAATTGATTAAATTGACATATTTTTAAAAAAAGTTCTAGGATTAGTTTATTAATTTAAAATTATAATAACCAAAACTAAATTTGTCTATGAATACACGCATAATTCTACCTACACTAAAATTGTATTTTTTTTTTCCTTTCCAGGATATTAAACGGACACAATTAGTTAACTAAATGGATGGAAATGAAAAAAAATTAAAAACAGAAACATTCCAGTCAAGGAAAAATTACCTAGACGGCAGCGTTTTGGAGCCGGGGAAAGTAAAGAAAAACCCTTGTCACATTGCTGAAGCAGAGAAAGGAACAGAGCTCCCAAGAATTTGTCGCTACTTCTGAAGTGTGTTGTGCGCAGGTGAGTGAATATGCATATTTGATTATTTATTTGATTTAAGGGATGCATCTATGGAATTGAACTCTTTGTTGAACTCGGTTGATATCTGTGAAGAATATTCGAGTGTTGTAGTGAAAATCAGTTTCTGAATGCTGATTTTTCCTAATTCTTTGCTGCTTGTTGTATCGCTTGTTCAATTGTGTAGTCAATTTTGGAATTTTAACTATGCTGTATGCGTGCATGCGCGCGTTGGGTTTAAACATTGATTCCCTGTAGTGCAGTTCATTCTACTGCACACTGGTGAAACTATTTGTTCTTGCTATTTATTTTTCTAAAGGCCCATGTTTGCAAAATTGCAGCTAATTTTCCTTCATTTCGTTGTTATACACTGGCACTCCCAGCAGATTGCTATTTCTGTGTGTGTAGTTTTTGTTTCAGTCCACTCATTCACGTCATATTTCTCAGAAGCCTTTTTGTCAACCCTTTTTAGGTTCATATGGCTTTGCGAGGGGTTTGGCAACTTCACAAACTGATTGTTAGTTACTGCAACTGGGGTGGAAGTAGCAGAGGTATAAGGTACAAACAATTTTGTCATATCTTCAATTCTTGTGTATCTTATATTCATATTTATGTTCTTGGCGACAGTGAACTACTGGATTTCTGCCTATATTTGTAAAATTGCATTTAATCTCTGAGATGATGTTTCTATGTTTTGAAGGGATGGAGTGGAATAGTTCATAAATGACATGTGATTTTTTGTTACTAGATGGATATTTGAAATTCCTCTCAGGACTTTGCAACTGAAATCTGTTGCTGGCTCGCATAATTTGCTTGTAAATTTCTAATAATAATAATGAGGTTCAAATCAGGCTTGTATTCTTTGGAATAGACGTCCTATCTTATTTGGTTATGTTTTTCCTACTGCAGACTTAATCTTTGTTCTTTGATGTTTGCTTGTGGTAAAGTTTAAGGGTTTGCATTCTTTCATTCTGCTTGTTTGAGTCTAAAACCCTACATACATGATAGTTTTAACTGAACTTTATATTTGGCATCAACATTCTATGTTGCGAGGGATAATTTTATGAATTACAATCAACAAGTTATTCTTGCTTGTTTGGTGATTGTACAAATATCTTAGTCTTACTATTTTTTGTTTTGTCACATTGGCTGTGATTACTGACTTCATGCTACTAATATCCTTTTAACAATTAAATTAGAAAAAAGTTCAAATCTACTCTACTTCTTGATAACCATATTTCTCCGTCTTATCTCCTTTGCACTATTACTGAAATTTTATTGGAACTAGAATGATATTAACGAGTATAATTTTCATGTTTTCATACTGCTTTGAATAGTGGATTCTCAATTTAGTTTTAAATATTTGAGTAGGGCATTTATGGAGTCTCAGTTGCCCATATTTAAAGAGAAGAATCCTCAATTAGAGGTGGTCACTGAGCTCATCCGCGGTCAGCATCCTCATCTGAAGGGTTTTTACAGTAAGTTTGTTGTGCTTACCTGTGACTGTGTAACTACTTTCTTTTCCATAGGTTTATTGATAATTCTCTAATGCAATTTGTATGGGATATTGAATATTGGGACTGTATAAAGGCAATAAGAAATTTATGCTCAAATTTGAGAAGATGAGATTGTTACACTGTATGAGTGGATACACAAGACAATATGGGATAAAAATGTACTAGAGAAAAAAGTTGGAGCAGCACCTATATTGGAAAAAATGTTATAGTCTTGCCTTATGTAGTTTGGCATATGGGAAATAAGGAAATTGGATTAGATGGAAGGTTGTTCAATATTTAGAGATTGATAAAATCCAACAAAAGACTATAGGGGCAACATTTAAAAGAATTTATATTAAATGGTTTATCATTTGCTATGATTCATTAGGATGTAATGGTTCGGTTGTTCCATGTAGCCTACTCCACCAAGTTGGAAAATGCTTTTGTTTGTGATTGGTGATTCTCTAATGAAATGCAGAGAACAAAAACCAGCGAGTGATATGTGTGAAGAATATGGATCCAGAAGACATACTTTTGCATGCAACCAGATTAAGGAATGCATTGGGCAGAAAGGTAGTGAAATTGAGGTCAAGAGATGTAACCAAACACCCTAGTGTGCAAGGTACGTGGACAACTGCTGTGAAATATTAAGAACTAGGTATATGAGAAAGTTACCCTTGGTGTATTTGACAAGATTTTCCTTCTCTTCCGGTGACTTAGTCAGTTTGTGAACTGGTGAGAGTAAGTTCTAATTTTATCTATCTGGCGCCATTTCCAGTCAATAGTTCATATACCTTTTTTGTGGTTATGTTGTTTGCTTCCCCGTGTTGAGATTAGCGAGATAGAAAAAAGCATGACAAAAGTGATTTTTTGTTCCCTATAAAGCTCTGCTATGTTTTAGTAGAGGGAATGTTGCAATAGGCTATTAGGCCAAATGATGGAATGTTTACTTTTTAAAAAGACCACTTTTGGATACAAGATTTTCACGTTGGCAGCAGTGAGTAACTATAACAAATAAATGCTAAATAAATAAATCTTCTGGTAATTGAAACTTTGTAGCTGATTCTTGTCTTTTAAGTGCGTTTGTATCAACTGATTGGAAATTTGATTTTGAATCGTCTTAATTTTGTATAATGAATTTTAGTTTAAATTGAAAGAATATTGTCTTTAATTGAAAAGTGATTCTACAAAGTGAACAACTTATTTCCCCAAGCCCCAACCAAATCAAAACTTACTTTTGGACCTGTGAATAGTATATGCAGCACACGTGTGTTTGAGGTGAAATAATTTATATTTAGATATTTTTTTGTTGAAAAGAGATTTAAGTTATAATGTTATTTGGCGTAAAATTCCCGAAATTAATCCAAAACCAAATAAAAACCTGTTTGTCCATGTGTTTGTACGTTCCCTTTAAAATCTTTTATGAAGATGGATGAAGTGAACGGAGAAAATGCCTCGGGGTTTCATTTGTAAAAACAGGAATGGAACTTAATAGAAAAAGATGGACCATTCCATTGTTTAATGCTATTTTTTTAAAATCAAACTTAGATGCATAAGATGGAACAAAGTTTTAATTATAAATTATGTTTAAAATTAATGATAATGTAAAAATTAAAGTTATAACTCTTTTCGTTGTTGTAATTTTCTTAAAACAACAGAATAATATTTTTGTTTCAATAAGAGCACCAGCCCCAGCTGATACAAAATTTGTTAGCCAGCTTGCAAGTGTTTTTGTTATTCATATATATATATATTGGAAGTGGGAAAAAATACAAAAAATAAAATAAAATATTGGTTTCATGCCCAAAAGTTGATATTGGAGTTTAGAATGACTTTGAATCAAGGCAACTTTATAATTATATTTCGTTCAACTTTCTAATTTAATTTAAAAATGAAAACATTTACATAAATTATTTAATTTAAAATTAGTTTTCTAAAAGTTAGACTCAATTCATTTTACGAGTTTTAACTAAATCACAGTAAATTTTCTTTAAAGAAACTGAATCATATAAATTCGCAAACAACTACATGTCTCATGAATGCGTGTTTGAAAATTGATCACAGTCGTGTTTTCTTTATCATATCAAAGAGAACCAAGCTTGTTTCACAGATTAAAAGTAGGTTTAATTGCTTCCTTTGTCCCCAGTTTGGTTGAATTGTGTCAAATTTATCCTCATTTTTTAAAAAGTTTCATTGTCATCCTCACGTGGTGTAAAAGTTTCATTGTCGTCCTCACGTGGTGTAAAAGTGTCAATTGAATCCAAACATAGAAAAAATTTGTGTCAAAGTAGTCATTTTTCCTATATATCTGTGTCTTCCTTTCATACAATCAAGTACAGATATTCATTTTACCTTATCCAATTTAAGGCTTTTCATAGCTCCAGAGAAGTGACATATGAAAGGAAGACACAGAGATATAGGAAAAATGACTACTTTGACACAAATTTTTTCTATGTTTGGATTCAATTAACACTTTTATACCACGTGAGGACGACAATGAAACTTTTTTAAAAATGAGGATGAATTTGACACAATTCAACCAAACTGGGGACAAAGGAAGCAATTAAACCTTAAAAGTACATTCAGAAATGTTATTCCTTATTACATTCTTAGCTCTAATTGATTATTAAAAGAGTTGTAACTTTTACTTTTACCATACTATTACAATAACCATATATCTATTCAATCATGCTACATTCAGCAATGATTTTTGTTTTATTCTGCAAAGGACTAAATTTACGTATAATTATTTATTAAAAGTTGAACAACTGCTTCAGATTGTAAGACTCAATCACATCTCTGTTACCATTCCACATTAGCTGAGCGAAATGTTCAGCAGCTTTCTCAGATGGATGAAGAGAATCAAAGAACACATTCTCACCAGGATCACTGCATAATTCAAATTCTTCGATACCCCTTTTCCCTCCACAACTATAATCTCCTCTGTAGGGTCCACCTCCACAACAAGCCACACTCCCCTCTCTGAAACCTTACCAACAAAAAAAATGGAGACAATGGTTACATTGCAATAAATACGAAGCTTTTCGCTTCTTGTTTTTTGACAAAAACTGTGATATATATACAAATTAAGGGCATTTATATACCATATTTTGAAGGGTACTTGACCAATTCCAGAATTGCATCATAGAAGTTAAAAATTGAGTATTTGAATCCGCTTAGTTGTTTTTCTAGGTTTTGAAAAGATCTGGAAAGAACAATATTGTGTAGTCTTGCAAGAGCAGAAGGTTGTGCTTGAAGACATGCTTCTATAGTTGTTCCATTCACGAATGTCCTTAGTAACGGAGCACAACTCAGAGGAGGAACATTTAGAAACGCAAATTTTCTTCCACCTTCATTGTAAATTCCCTACATAAAATATCATTTCTTAAAATTAGAAACATATGAGAACGAAGAATAATTGAGAGAGAGAAATGTTAGTGCAATTGTTCGGACAAAGATTAAAATCTACTTTGATAACTGTTGTAATGTTGCCAATGACGAAATCTACAAATTTTTCTGGAGAGTATGGAAGAGTGACATTCATGGGGTTTTTAATGAAAGGGGATGCATAGTCATTGGATGCAATGGAAAAAAGATAAACAGCTGTGGACAACAATCTCTTGGCTTTGTGTTCTCCAAATTGCTGCCTCAATTGCTTGCTAACTCTCGTAAAGTACAATCCTTGAGTTCTCAGGTTAATCACCTGTAACATCCAATAAATTGAAATGCATTATAAGAAACATACACAAGTAAAGTATATCACTTTATCATTTTTCTACTAAGTTAAACATGTTTTTAATCCTTAAACTTACATGTGTGATTAGAATTAGTTTTTGCACTAGAATTTGATACATTTTGATCTCAAATTTAAAAAATGAATTAATATAGTTCTCTTATCTTTATTAATTTTTTTGAGCTTGTTAAACAGTATTTTAGAGTGACATTTGAATCAGAATATGTTAAAATGGAGTAAACAATTCAAAAGTCATCCTAACACGTTTGACATGTCAACAAAATTTAACAGAGTTGAATTAAAAAGATTATATTTCTTAATTTTTAAAACTTAGAGATCAAAATGTATTTTTAAACATGAATAACTTTCAATTTTAAGTCCAAGTTGAGGGACATATTTAACATTTTTTATGACAGTGTAACACTTTAACGGAGAATTTTAACAGAGAATTTCAGAAATCAGGGAAAGGAATACCAATCCTGGATTAGTTTCAGGCAAAGCTCCAGCTCCAGCAGATGCAAAGTTGACTCCATTAGTATATGAATTAAGCCGTCTAGGGTCTAAGAATAACCGAGGAATATGTGAAAACTCTGCATAGTCAGCTGCAAACATATGCATGGATCAGCAAATTAAGATAAAAAAGTTAACCTAAGAGCTTCACTTCGTCTGATCAAACAAAACAAAATAACATGAGTAAGAAAGGATACCAATAAAATCTGTGATCAAACGTCCATCAGACAGTCTTCCAGTGGGATACTTGAAGAAAGATTGTCCATATGGAGGGAAGTTTCCTTGGAAAATTGGGGAGGTGTTAATGTAGTTATTGTTTCCAGAATCATATAGAGAGTCTCCAAATATGAACATGGGTTGATCATTTTCTGATGGACATGTGCTCTTTTCAGAATGAGAGTGATGAATGTTCAGAATAAAGAGAACGAACACAACAAACACTCTCAAGGTTGCCATGTAATTAATTTACTCTTCCTATAAATGGATGGATGCAAATTAGGTGTTGTGTTGAACTTATATATATACTGTATTATATAGAATGGTTGATTAAGTTTATACATTTTTCATTTAGTTCTTATTAAAAAACATTGTTTTATTGAATATTTAGAATTTTATTATTATTTTCTGTTAGTGGGAAAGTATGATTTTTAATTTCATCTTCTCGTCAATTTCATCAATTAATGGGATAGCGTGATAGAATGTATGACAAGTTATATTCATCGAGTTTTGGAGTCTATTTTACTAAATATTATCAGTAATTAAACTTCAAAACAACTATATGTAAATTCTATTTAACTGACAAATTTTTCTTTGGTAGTAAATTATATTTTATTAAAAGATTATTATTTTTTTTCAGTAAATTTTATTTTATTGTCAATTTTTTTCTATCAGTAAATTCCATTTTCTTGTAGTATGGTATTTTCTTGAAAGAGATTAAAAAGGAAATGATCAAGTTGATCAATGAGTTAAAGTTGAGGAAACAAAAGTAATGACTATTGACGACAAAAAAAATTAACAATAAAATACTTTTCAATATTTAATAAAATGAAATTTTTTAATCGAGATTCCATTAAATTTCATTACAAAAGAATTGATTTACTTATGATTAAAATTTGTTAGTAAATTAAATTACCAAAAATTTATCAACAATGAAAAACTGGTTAGTTAAACTTTTATCAATAAATTTTACAACAAAATTTATGTTTTATTAGTAATTATTGACGAAAACATCCATCGAATAAAATTTGTTACTAATTATCAACAAAAAAAATTGTCAGTAATCTCATGCATGCACACTTCTAATACATCAATCACAGTTTCATCAATCATTCCTTTCAATTTTGTTAACTTTCATCAATCAATTCCCAAACCACTTTCAACATTCAATTACACTCACTTACCACTATAAATAACTCATTCACTATCACGATTTTCTAACATGACAACCATCACAACATCAATCATCACTAGAGGACACCAAATAGATATTGGGGTTTTCAAATGAAGGAGAAATGTGATTGGAAAAAGAGTGGTTCTAACAATACTAGCGATTTCCTTTCGAACATCCACCGACGACGTGGTGTGTTGGTGAAGGATCAACAATGGTGGATCTAACTAACGATTGTCGATGCTGACATCGACCATGACAACGACAACGACAAGTTATGTCTATGTAGACGATGGTGTGCAAATCTCTCTAAAGATGGAAACACACTGATAAGATAAAGAGATATCCTTGCACGATGGATATGAAGAACTCAAAGAAGAAAGAGAGAAGAAGGAAATGTAGTCGTCGACACAATGCGACAATGGGTTATCAATGGTTTTGTAGTGGTCAATAACACTAATGGAGGCTCATGCACATGTGCTAATAACATCTATTATGTTGCGGTTTGTCCAATCTTGGAGATGTGGTGGCTTGTAGGTGTAGTAAAAGTCATTATGGGGATTAGTCTTGCAATAAGAAAGTTTTTTGAAAAAAAGGAAAAATCCTTCCATGGCTAGAAAAGAAGGAAGGAAGAGAAAAGATTAATCGACACTTCCAAGCAAAACTGTAAGTGTTGGGTAATGGATTTTGATGAAAAAAATTGATTTTTTTTATAATAAAAATTTTAAATTATTGATGAATTTTAAGATATATAATTATGATAAATATCTTCAACAAAAATAAAATTCATAAGTAATTAATTTTTTTTAATTTTTTTATAATTTCAAAACACATTGTAGTGTTTTAAAGACATTATAATGGAGTTTCTATCAAAATAAATTCATCTTATTAAGTATTCAAAATATATTCTTATTTTATTTTAAGTTTTTTGACATTTGATTATCATATTAATGGAATAATGTCAACATTATTTTTGTTTTTTCATCTCCAACTCAATTTGTTTTTTTTCACTCTATTCTCCTAAAATTTGTCGTTCAACTCATTTTTGAAAAAACATTGAATGATTAACAACGAGTTGGAAAAGACTAAAAGAAAAACTAGCAAGTCAATTATTAAGATATAAATGAAAAAAAATCACGTCATTTGTTAATGAAAAAAACGAAACAATAAGATAGTTAAATGAAAAAAAAAATATTGTGAGTAATTAATAGAATAAAATATTTTTAACATAGACTAAGTTAAAAATACTCAAATTTATGAGGTAATTAAAAGTTAATTAAACTTAAAAAAATTAATATGAATACTAGATAGACATAAATAATAAAATTTACTAAAATAACACAAATAAAAGGTAATGACTTAAAATGTGAGATAAATAACTAAAATATGATTTAGTAGAGTGATTGAACAAATTTAAAATAACTACGTGAATTAAATAGATCAAATTTTACAAAATTTTGTTGAACAAAATCAAATTGGTTTAGATTATTTCCTTTAATGAATACGTTCTAAAACTCAACTTAAAAGAAATTAAAGTTGTTTATTTATTTATAGCAACTAATGAATGAATACGTTCTAAAACTCAACTTAAAATAGATTAAAGTTGTTTATTTATTTATAGTAATTAAGGAATAATGAATACAGAATAAGTTCTTTAATATGTACTTTTTTTTAAAACTCGCTTTTATTTCGGATTGTTATATTTCAAATATATATATATATATATATAGTTTTTTTTTACGAACATAAAATTTTTAAATTTTTAATTTTAACATAGTGATAATTTTTAATTGTCTTTGACTTAGGTTTAGATAATTAGGTACTGAACTCCATATTTGATTAGGTAACAAATTAAAACATTTTTTATTTAAAAGGTGAAGTCAACATTTTAAAACTATTAAAAGCAGTTGTGCAGTTATGAAATTTAACAATTAATATTGTTGTATATTAAAGAAATAAAATTGATATATTTTGTTGGATGATATCAAAATACTCAATGAAATAATTATAAAAATAAACAGTTAAATTATGAGATAAATAACTCAGTTTCAATTAGTAAATTATATAAGTAACTGAAACTAAGTGAATTAAATAGAATATTTGTAATATTCACTTTTTACAAAATTTCGTTGATCAAAATCAGATTGGTTTAACAATTTCCTTTAGGAATACATTCTGAAACCTAAATTAAATTTAGAAGAAATTCAAGTATAATTTTTAACTATGGACAATTAAGAAATAATGTATACAGAAGAGTTTGTTTTGTGTTTACTTTTTTTAAAAACTCTTTTTTATTTTGGATTGTTATATTTAGAATTTAAATATATATATATATATATATATATATATATATATATATAAAGTGTAATTAAAGTTTATTAAAAAAATTCGTATTTTTATAAACTTTAATTACACTTTATATATATATAAAGTGTAATAGTTATACTTTGACAATGTTACAACATATATACACATATTTAAATTAATTCATTTTAACATACTAATGATAGCTTTTAATTGTCTTTAACCTAAGTTAAACAATTAGGTACAAAACTCGATATTTTAGTAGATAACAATTAAAAGAAATTTTGAAATAAAGAAAAAGATTAAGTCAATATTTTAAACTATTTAAAGCAATTAATACTTTCTTTTAAGAAAACTTACAGGGCCATTTGAAATCCATCGCATTTAATTAATGTATTGATTCACATTTTTCATTATTTAATTGGTAAATATTTAATAATTTACTTTTAGTATACATGTCTTTTTATCACTGATTTGTATAAATCATATTATTAATAACTTTAGTCATAATTACCGGAACATATATTAATCATCATTACATTCGTTGAATTATCGTCTGGCTTACATCCATTAACGGAAATATCAGCCATTACTTTTAAATATATTCCTCGATATAAACATCATCAATATATATATTTATACTATGGTGAATTTTGGACCAGTAAAAAGTTAACTAACTCATTTATTAATATAAATGATAAAAATATAAGACGAATAAAATCCCAAAAATTGTTAAACTAAAAATTACATGTATATTTTAAATATTGGTAAAAAAATATTGATATATATATATATATATATATATATATATATATATATATATATATTCACTTGCTTTATTTCTATTAGTGAGTATTGTTTATTCAGATAAAAAGCGAAACAAATGGTATTTCTCGCATAAGTCTAAGTTTGTTTAACGAGAAGATAATTTCTCAAAGCGGTTAATATGTCGTGAATGAAAGAAAATAAAAGTAGTTTCTTTTGGAGACATAAAGAAACAAAAGTTTTGGATGAAGAATATTTTGGAGGCATCAATACTTAATTTTTTTTTCGTTTACGTTGTTAATTTCATCTAATTTGTATGTTCTAGATACATAGAAGCAGTTAAACTCACATTTTTTAAGATTAGATATAATGAATCAATACTTGATGTAGTTTTTCTTACGCAATATAATATTTTTTTATTCATATGTTCTATCTAGATTATTCATGTATATGTTAGAATATCATACAATTTGAAAGTATCTAATAATTGGAAAATGATTTGGAACTTAGACATAGATAAAACACCCAAAAGGTTTGGTTCTAGGAATGTATTCAATATCTCTTGGTCGTTCTAGACATCTAAACTTAATTCAAATTGTATGTTAACTTGATTAAGGAATTAGTGATGTGATATATAGATTTAAAACTTACTACTAAGAAATTTGGACTAGTGTGCTTTTGATGTGAATTTTTAAAGTGAGATAGAGATATATTGTTTAAATTATTGCATTATTTTGGTTCATAAAATTCAATCTTGGTAAAACTTTTATCAAATCACGTTATAAATTTTATATTGTTCAAAATGAATATCTCTTGCCATAAATCAATCAATGACATTTATTATCGTTAGAATTAGTAAATAATCATAATTAGACAAACAAGCCTAAATCCTTGGAAAAAATGATATTTGAACTTTCATTTTACTACTTGTAACGATTTGGTATACAAAGCTTTGCACGTCCTAATTTTTGGATTGGGATTTGTTGTTATGATTTTGTGA